AAAGCAAGCATCCTATTTATCATTATAGACATTCTGAGACATGAAACTACCTGAGGAGCTGAAATTGCCTGATGTTTGCTAATTACTTTAAGGGTAACAGCTGCTGCCTTGATGATAAAATCATTTACTGACATTTTAATGTCATCTGAAAGACACAGAAACACAGCAAGTTCAGTATTCTAACACAACTTTAACTGTGATGTCAAACGTGTGCATAAGCACACCTTCTCAGTCGAGAAGGTTCCCGTGATCATTAGAGTTTGCATTTATGCACTCCTGGATACTTAATATCATCCCTGAATATACAGTTTCCTTTGGGCCTCAGAATTTTTAAAAACTGCTCAGATAACACACACGAGAACCTGAAGGGAGCATCACCAGCACCAGGAAAGAAGAGACCCAACCCCTATGTCTCCAGAAAGACAAATAGTCTCTGGTGTGTGCCAACAAAGTCTACAGGAAATGCCCTCATTCCCTGCATGTTTTGAATACACTGACTACATCAGTGCAGGGGTGCATGGGGGCACTCTACATAAACAATTGTATGCATACATGGAGGGAGTGTGTACAAATTTCTTTTTATTAAGGGGGTGTACATGGAAAAACCTGCAGATCATTGTATTAAACGAGAGCTGCTTTTTAACTTAACAGGAGTTGCCAAGTGCCTAGGATGCAGCAACGCTGCACAGGTCCCAGAGCACCCAGTGACATGAGGTCCCCGTCTGGTTTTCTGGCAAATACACTTGAATCAACTTCTTTCCAGCACATGTAATGATTTTAAGGTAAAGCTGGGGTCCCCCTGCTTCCCAAAGAGGTGGAAACCTTCCTGTTTGTCTGCTCAAAGCCCCTCGAGGAGCAGAAATATAAGTGGATTTCTAGCGCTTGGAGACTTGTAATGGCATCCAACACAAAACACTGGTGGCAAAAACTCAAGCGTGTGGGCATGCTGTTCCGTGAGTTCCTGTGCTCACCTTGCGTGGCTATTGGACCCCTCCTCATGCTGTTGGCCATCCACAGATCCCCATGGTGGAGACTTCCCAAGCACCAGCCAGCCAATGACCCCAGACCTGCCTCCCAGTCATGGCCTCATTCAGGAGCATTCTCAAGTGAGACGCTTGGCCCCATCTTCCATACTGGCAGCTCCCAGGCAGAAACTTTCAGCTCCCAGGTTTGGCTCCAAGGAGTATGACTCCTCCTGCAAGTTCTACCTCTGAGCCTGGTGTAGTCAAGCAGCAGACCCGTATATCCAACTTCTCTCATGACATTTCTATTCACACACCAAAAGGCATCTTAAATCCAGCATGTGTAAAGCAGATCTCTTTTCAAATTCCTTTATTTTTAACTCTTTGTGTGAACATTTTCAAGCACACTAAAAGGATATGTTGATGACGTTTACTGAGAAGGAAATAGTTTGTAAGGGAATATAAAATAGTCTCATCTGCATGTTGTCAAGTCACAAAAGCTAAATGTGAAACATACTTGGGCATGTTATATACCATAACCTCATACATGAAAGAGGAGGGAAGACAGATAACGTGGTTCTCTCAAGACTCATGTGGAGACTCCTAATTACAAGGAGCGAACAAGCTGGACCATGCAAGACCCTACATTCATCCATCTCTCCATGGACCCATCACTATTTCCTGCCTTGTGAGAGTAAGACAATGCAAAATCATTCCCACACCAACCTCTACATCATAAAGGAGCCAGTGTGACTCAAGAACCACAGAGGCACTTCCTGGGCTGACTTCTTAGATATCTGTCACTTTCCATTTGGTTCCAGAAGTTCTAAAGGCGGCCCAGTGTCATCCTAGGAAATTCTGTAGTCTGCATATAAACCAACTCATCCCAGTCCTGCTCTCACTCAGAAGTGGGAGATGCAAAAGAAAGCTGCCCACCCCAGCAGGAAAAGAGAGGGCAGGATCAACTAAGAACCACACTGCTCTTGGACCTTGGGGACTGACTACACAGCAAGGGGCGACTGACCCACAGAGAGTGACGGCCACTGAGGAGCTAGTATGGGAGGAGGAGGGCAGCACACAGGCTGCAATGTGACCAGGGAGAAACATGCGCGAGATGGAAACCACAGAAATGCCCAGATGGAAACCCAGGCGGCAGCCACGGCCAGAGATGAAAAACATGAGTGTCCAGCTCTGAGCCATAGCTGAGAGGAGAATCAGTGAATTCAAAGCCAGGCCAGCACGATGTCCAAGCTGAAATTCCAAGGGAAAAAGGAAAAAGCAAAAAGGAGCACACTGCCAATGAGCTCTGGATAGTTTAAAAAGCCTCCCATTTATAGTTGAAGGCCCAGGAGATGACAGTGTGGCTGAAATAATTTAAAAGAATAAGGAAAGACAACAGGTCACCGATCTGTGAAGCTGAGAGAAATCCAAATGGGGGAATAAGACAGCAAAAGAAACTGGGCAGGTAAAGCCAAACCACTGCTGGAGAAAGCCCTGAAAGCAGCCAGAGAGGGTAGAGTGCAACATGGGAGTGTCAGGCCACAAAGGGAGAGTCAGGTCACACAGGGGTGTCAGGAATGGTGGCAGGCACCCAGCAAGGTACAGGAATGGAGGAGTGTCTCCATGGAAAGCTCTGGAACAAAAGTCTCGTTACCGCCAAATTCTATGCCCAGCAAAAATATCCTTCAAAAATGGAGATCCCATACCCATAAGGAGGACTCTCATCAAAAGAGCAGAAAAACAAGTGCAGGCAAAGCTAGGGGGAAACCTGAATCTTGCATGGCCGTGAGGAGGCCAACCAGCAGAGCTACTACAGAGAGCAGGACAGCAGTTCCTCAAAAAGGAAAGGCATCATTACCCCACGATCCAGCAGTTCCACTTCCGGAACCAGCCCCATGTGCGGGCAAAGGCACAAAGAGGCATCTTCACGCCCTGTTCATGGCAGCACTGCCTGCCCAAAAAAGAAATGACCCGACGGGTCCACCCACGGACAGACAGTGAAAAGATGCAGTCTCCACGTGACGGGGTGTGGCCCTGCCTTGGAGGGAGAACAACAGGCAGGAACCTGAAGACAGTGTCCAAGGGAAAGGAGCCAGTCACAAAAGGGCGAGCATTCTTGATCCCACTCGCCTGAGGGATGCAGAGGTGCTACGCTTACTCGAATGCGAAGCAGAGTGGTGATAGTTACAGGGATGGAAAAAAGAATGGTGGTCACTGGGGATTGGGGGTGTGACATTTACAGGCATGGAAAGCAGAATGGTGGTTGCCAGGGGTTGGCAGGGGGTGTGTGTGTGACATTTACAGGGACACAAGGCCACAAGGCCAGCGGTGGTCTCCAGGGGCTGGGAGGGAGAGTGGATTCAGCAGCTCGGTGTTGCAGGGTGCAAAAGCCCTGTGGGAGCACGAGGGTCATGGCTGCACAACAACGTGATGCCTTTCATGCCAAAGATTGAACTGTAGACTTTAAAATCATTAAAATGGGAAAACTTATGTCACCTATATTCAACCACAACTAAACATTTTTTAGATCGGAAACTTAGTTTATTTAGAAAGTAAACTGGAGTGGGGGTTCACCTCCCCAAGGGAGGGGAGGAGGCCAAGTTAGGAAATGTGGTGATGGCTATAGTTCAAAGAGCACATGGCCACACCAGAGTCCAGCAAGGCAATGGCCAAAACATTTTTTAGAGAAGGACAAGAACAAACAGACTTTTTCAGACCAAAGCTAAAATAATTTACTGACATGAGACAACAGACAGCACTTTGATTCTCTATAAAGCAAAAACTACAAATGAATATAAAGAGACTCTTTCTTCATTGTAAACAACTTTAGAAACTTGACCTGTTGAAGCAGAAAGCATTAAACATGTATTCTGTGGCTTACATCGTATGGAGAAGTAAAACAGGAAAGTCACAACTCGAACTGTGGAAGGAAGGAAAGGGTCTCGCATGAAACATGAGGTGGTGTGACCCACGTTGAAGGCAGACTGTGGAAGAACAAGGAATTACACTGTGAACCCTAAGGAAAGTATGAGAGATAAAGAGAGAGAGAGAGAGAGAGAGAGAGAGAGAGAGAGAACAAACACAGAAGTAGAATGGAATCAGAGCAAAATGTGGAAACACCACTGATTGCGGACTCCTGAGGCTTTACTGAAATCACTCACCAGGTCTAGGAGTCTTCTAGTGGAATCTTTAGGGTTTTCTAGATTTAGAATCACATTGTCTGCCAAGAGCGATAGTTTGACGTCCTCTTTTCCTACCTGGATATGTTTTTCTTCTTTCTTTAGCCTGATTGCTCTGGCTAAGACTCCCTCATGACAAAATAACCAAGCAGAGACAAGGAAAGAAGAAAAAAGGAAGAAATAGGACAAAGAAAACAAAGAAAGAACAAAACAGCAGATATGAATCCAACGACGACATTAAATAGGAATGGTCACAATGCCTTAGTTAAAAGAGATGGCAGTACTGGACAAGCAAGCAGAACCCGACAACATGCTGTCTGCAAGAAACCTATTTAAGTAAAGACATAGACCATCAAGAGTAAAAGATACAGAAAGATGCACTGCAAAAACAAATTTAAAAAAATCCGAAATGGCTAAATCAACACGATAAAAAAGGCGTGAGGACAAGGAGCAGTACCAGGAACAGACGGAAACAGGACATGATGATGAGCCATCCACCAAGAAAACAGAGGACTCCTCTGTGTGTAGGGAAAACAATCCACCTTTGAAATACAGGAAGCAAAACAGACAGCACTGAAAGGAGAAACCTACAGCTCACAATCACAGTCAGGAGTTTCACACTCATCTCCAGGATATGAACACCACCATCAACCATCTTGACTTAGCTGACACTTAAAAACACTCCCTGCAAAAAAGTGGAACATACATTCTTTTCACGCACAAATGGAACATTCGCTAAGATAGAACATGTTACAAATCTCAACAAATTAAGATGACTGAAATCATACAAATTATGCTCTCCAAACACAATGGAGTTCAGCTAAAAATCATAAAAGAGCCTTTCTGAGGAGCCAGCAAGATGGTGGAAGTGGAGCAGAAAAAGAAGAGGACCTTCCACAAGGTCACCTACCACAGTGTGGACCTGGACCAGCTACTGGACAGGTCCTACGAGCAGCTGATGCATGCGGCAGCAGTGGCAGCTGAACCGAGGCCTGCGGTGGAAGCATCACTCACTGTGTAAGCAGCTGTGCAAGACCAAGAAGAAGGCACTCCCCATGGAGAAGCTTGAGGTGGTGAAGATGCACCTGCGCGGCATGATCATCCTGCCTGAGACGGTGGGCCGCATGGTGGGCGTGTGCAATGGTAAGACCTTCAACCAGGTGGAGATCAAGCCAGAGATAACTGGCCACTACCTAGGCAAGTTCTCCATCACTTACAAAGCCTGTGAAGCATGGCTGGCCCGGCACTGGTGCTACCCACTCCTCCCACTTCATCCCACTCAAGTAGTCACTGCCAATAAAGACACGTTTGTTCAGTCAAAAAAAAAAAGGAAATCGTAAAAAAAAGGTAACTGAATAGTCTCCAAGTATTTTGAAATTAAATTCTCACTTATCAATAACTCTTGGATCAAAGAAATCACAAGGG